AAGTACAAACCAACAACTAACAATTATAATTACGTACCTACTACATATGTCAAAAACTTTTTGCACTTCTTCCGCAATGAAACGAAAGATCCTTTTCAGATGTACCTTTTTATTAAAGAACACGTTTCATGATACAATATTTCTGATATATGATTCGAATTCTACACAGTAAAAGAACATTAACAGTTACAGCCCTATCCTTCAACTAAACAGAAAGTGGCCAAATTTATTGTATTTTCGAAGTTGTATGCTAAATAGGTCTATTCAATCTATCTAAAACAGTGCTTTATCTAAAACAATCAAACTGGCAAGAATAGGCAGGTGAAAACCACAGATAGTAGTTTGATGTGTATAGAAGCGAAAATGGACAGCGTCATAGGAAAGAACAACGAAGCTTTTTTTGAACTTCTAAAAAACCGAATATTCCACAAATATTACTCGTTTATCTTCAACTATCCCACCTGATTCAATCCCAACGATGAATTTTTGTCTTAATCATATTCTTGGGTGTGTTCATAAAAGGAAATTTGGCAAACGAGTTATTACAACTAGCCGCTCGATAAGGGAGGAATGTTCAGAAAATAGCTGTATATCTTGCAATATTTACAATTTTCAGGCTTCAGCAGTGATTACTGGTTTTGATAAATTTTTAACCGTAAAACCATTATTACAGACTTATTCTCTGGCTCAAGTACTGTAAGAAAAATGAATTGGATTATAAAAATTTCAGTTTTTAGGAAATAGATTTTTTGCCGCCTTTGCTTCTTACTTGCCTTACTTTACTGTGTGCCATTGTGAAAATTCTGACTCGGTTTGACCGTTCGCTTTTTCCCGCTGTTTCAGCATTTCGGTTGGGTCTTGCAGACAATTCTAACTGCGGTCGAATGTTCTTACTGCCGGCAATGTTTCACAATTAGGAAAGTTTCCTCGAAACGCCTAAGCAACTAATTATAAACAAGGATCAATATATTAAATGACGCCAAAATTTGTCGTTAAAATGTACAATCAAGTAATAATGAAGACTGTGCGTAACCGTGTTTGCACGCTCATGATCATAGACGATCAAAGTTTAATTGTCGCTATACCATATTCATCACAAGTTTCACAAGCGGTCTTAACATAATGTACGCTCTTTACTTTATGCCTGCCAGTACAATCGTAGTTATATGAGAGCCAGTAAATAACATTGAACTTTGAATCGATACCAAAATAACAAGAACTGACGAAAGTAACGTCCGAAGTCATAATTTATCTTTTAACACCGAAACCAGAATAAGAACGTTTATTTTTAAAAACGTATATGCACTAGATTACTACATGGGAAGTACCTGCACCTTACAATACATCACATAATATTTATTTTAGTTATTTATTTAGTTTCCATCGATAGTTTTCTATTTTGTACTCTAATTAAGTCATATATAAAAGTGTTCATTCTTGTGAGCTATCAGTTACATTTTACCTAACGCAATGTGTTTTAATGCTTTCCTTTTATTTATTTTTGCATTACTAATGAATACATCCAATTTATTTCACGCAATTTCTCGTATTAAACCAATTTAAATATTGAATTTAAAAGCGAAATGTGTTAATTATCGTCGTTTGTTAATTTATTGACTAATGTGTTTCAGTTGAATGTAAAAATAATTAAATTATTTCGAACCCGGGCTTTTTTTATCTCGTTGACTCCAGAGGATTATTTTTAAAGGAATACCTCACATACACATTCCACCCCTAAGTGAATATTAAAACACGTTTTTCTGCGGTGTTGTGAATGAAAAACATAATTAAAACAGCTTATCAAACAGCTAGTTGACATTTTCTCTTTCAAAGCAGTAAGTCGCCCACAATGCTGGTGCGATTTTAGAAAGTAAAGGACGGAAATATTGTCGAGGTGTGGACGAGAGGATTACCCAGTACATTTTAATATTTAAAGTTCTGATTTTGTGTTATTAATAATTGACGTTTTGTTCCTTTTCATCTTCTCTATGTTTTAGTCCACTTTGGAGATAACGAAAATTCTTATTCAATTACCATAATAAAACAATTTTATTCAACAGTAAAATTGTTGAGTGAAAGCACATTTCGGACAGCTTTAACTATCAGCGCTCTGTTTGGTAAGATGGTTGAAAGTATGGCCTGGGGTGAATTTGAAAATGGATTATTAATCTCTTGGTAATTTTTTTAATGTAATCTACCGCTCAGAGTTATGTAAACGAAATGAGGGCGAAAGAAAACGATGGGAAAAGTGGAAAATGGATTTTCTTGAAAAAAGCCTAACTCAAATCCGGTTTTTCTTTTATGATTAATATTCTCTCTAGTCATTTTTTCAACATTAACATCTCGCCCGGTTTTTCACAATCGAGGCAGGTTAATGAAAAATAACGGTTTTCCAATTCGTTTTGTGCAGTTATTATTAAGATAATTTCAACGCTGATGAAGAACGGCTACTTTAATTCAATGAAATAATTCAAAGGGAAAAAATTTTTTTAGGGTGTTTAAATAATTGGAATTTATAAAATGCAAACATTTCTAAAAAATGAAGAACAGCGTTAAACAATACTCCGTCGGAATTACCAAACCCTCTCGTAATAATTCGTTAACCCTTCATCTCTTATCTCAATTAAAATCATTACACAGAAGAAAACCAGATAACTGAGAACGAATTCAGATATAAATTCATGTAATTTTTACAGAAATCTTCCAAAAATTAAATCACATACCTCACAAATATTGTTGACACAATTTGTTTTTTTACAATGCATGAATAAAGAACAAAGTCTTGTTTTTTAATAGATAAAAAATTGAATTTTTAATTATGCATAAAGGGATAATATTAAAAACTGCATTTAATCCGACATTTATCCCAACAAAATAAGAGAGAAATTATATAAAATAGTGTGGCTGTAGTACGTGAATTTATAAAAATTTATTGAAAACCTCTAGTGAAGGGAGGTTTTTTCCTGAAACATATATCTAAATGAAATTATAATTTTATACCCTGTAATATACCACCGTAACAAGGGGTTAGAATAGTAGAGGCCGGTTCGTTTTGGTCAGTTGGATTAGGTTAAGCTAATCCAAGCTCCGATTAAGCCTCATGGAGCTTGACCCAGAAAATTTCCAGCCATTATAGCGCGGCGATTCAATTCATATTTGAAATTCAAATTTGTTAACGAAAAAACGTACTTTTTTTAACTCGTCGATGATGAACGATTTTTTTTTTTTTTTTTTTTTTACAGCCCAGGTACAAAATTAATAAATTTATATAAAGAATTACAGATAGTATTTAAAAAGGAAATCCTGGCTTTTTATAAAAATATAAAAAAGAAGCTTATTGAGGGGTAAGTGAGTTGTGATTCGTTAGCCATCGGCTGCTTTGAATAATTAATTTCTCAAGAAATCTCGAGCGCGTTTTGATAATTGAGTTACTTCCGGCTATTGTTCAAGTTTGGCTCCAACCGAAATATCATAAATGTCATCGATTTGCCTTCTCTTGTCCAATATTATCCGTTATAAAATAATTTTGACCGAAATCAGCTGTAGTTTATTGAGCGAGAGAATAAAAATCATTCCAAATAAGGGCTAATAGAAAATTCCTATTCTGCCAATGATTAGCAATAATGAAAATGAAAAATGTCAGACACAACTTGAAAAATAAAATTAAACAATATATAACAACACAATATCATTAAAATTATTCAAAAGTAATAAATGTTGGCGGAAATGAGCAATCAGTCTGGAACTTTTTCCTTTCTCTATCTTCCCTTCATCCACCTCTCCTGTAAGCACATTTTATAAACGTATTATATAATTTTTTATGTAAAGTTTTTGTTTGAAATGAAAAAGTTAGTGTCACGAGCGGGATTCGAACCCACGACTTCGACTCAATACCCTGCTGATCTAACCACTTGAGCTATCGTGACTTCGACCCACCCGGACACCAACTCCCCATCCCAACCTTCACTCCTTTGAATTTTCCCTCCGTCAGTTTCAAGGTTAGGTTTTTGTGAGATACGTTTTACTTCATTCTGCCTATCGTTTTTCAACTCTTTTCGTATAAATTTTGTATTATTCTATAATTGAATAAATGGTTATATTACAAAATAGATCTGTTTGTACTATATAATTATACAGAACAATTGAATCTTTCAATTTTTATAGGGCTTTTAGTTTCAATTCAATTAACCTCCGGGAAAGTTTAAAATACGCTTAAGAATTTTATTGCTTTTTGCTCGACATTTCGCCGGCGAAAGTGGTTAACTGCTTGGGTTAATTCTTGCTTGGGAAGAAAATTTTAAGTGTTTATTTAAGAGAGAGGGAGGATGGTTACTTTTTTGCTTATCATAAAATCTTTTTGCTTTTCTTTTTTATCTTTTTTGCTTAAATGTTTCCTTTTCACAAAGACAAGTAGTAGCGTTAATAGTTACATCCACCGTGCATACACATCTTTTTATAATTAATATTATGAAATTTTTATAAAATGGGAAAATAATATTGCCTAAAAAAATACATTTGACAGATAGATAGAAATTACGAGCGGGATTCGAACCCACGACTTCGGCTCAATACCCTGCTGATCTAACCACTTGAGCTATCGTGACTTCGACCCACGATGTCTGGTTTTTTTTTACAATTTTGTGCACATCATGAAACATTAATAAAAGTATATACAACATGGAATTAAATTCGTCTGTATAATTTATAACATATTAGCAGTTCTAATTGTTAGGTCATTTCTAGTCTTAATCAGTTTCCATTCCACAACAAATTAGTCTGACCAATTATTCTATTCTATTCTAATCTATTCTATTCTATTCTTTATTGTCTATTATTATCTGTTATTAATTATTCTATCTTATCAATTATTCTATTCTATAATTGGTATATTTCTATTCTATTAATGAAATTTGTAGCTGAACTTAGGCTATACAATTTCATATCACTAAAATTGTATTTAGCTGAACACAGTACATATCTAAAATCTCCTTTTTTTCCAGAGTTCTGGGAAGACCACTTCCAGTGCAAGTACCCGAACAGCTCCAGGACTCCATACAACAAGAAGTACACGCGTCCTTGCACGACAAAGGAAAGGCTGACAAGAGAGAACACCGCCTTCGAGAACCAGCTGCAGTTCGTCTCTGACGCGGTCATGGCGCTGGCCGTCGCCATTCAAGACATGCACAAAGACCTCTGTACCGACTCTCTCAGTCTTTGTGAAGCTATGATACCGACAAAAGGAGCCGAGTTGCTCAAATACCTAAGATCAGTGAATTTCCAAGGTGAGCAAAACCGGCATTAGAATATGTTTGAAAAAAGATCACTTGTCATTCAAGAGCACCTTGTCTTGAAAGGACACAAAACGAACTCCCTCAAAGAAGTGTCGTGAGTCCTATATAGTTTTTATTATACAGTACGACATTCTTACATTCCCCAAATTCAGTCATTCCCACCTTTGCCAATGATAAAAATATCCTTTCTTTTTACTCAACAGTCCTATCTAACAAAGTCACCTCACTTTGTTAGCAAACAGAAGATACTGCAAATGGAGAAACGTGAACGAAAACAAATGTGTACAAATCGCAGTAAGAAAATTAATCTGTGCCCTCCATTACAAGAGAATGGAAAACTGCCATGATTGCTGATAAGTATAGTACGACAGCTGAAATTGTTCATTCTAAAACGACTGAACTTGAATCCACACACTACGACAAAGCTTAATCATGAAAATACAGGCTCTTGCTGGGACTACTCGGCCACGATCCCACCTAAGCATAAATAAAAATTTACCCTTTCAAAAATAGTCCGATTTTTGCCCCCTGTGGATTGGTAGTATTGGGCCAACGAAGCTGTCCATTTCCTCCTGTATCCAGTCTCTCCGATCCAATATTCTAAGAAAAAAATCACCTTTTATGTCTACAATAGAACCATTTTTAATTCGTTTGTTTGCGTATATTGTACAATCCATATACATATTACATGCTATTATATAACTCTTATTATTATTATTGCAATTAAAATTATGTTCAACATATTGTACTAACATATAATTTTGGTTTTAGATTACAATTTCACAAATCATTAAACTTAGAAATAATATTACAATTCATTAAAGGTAAATCCTTAAAGTTAAAATTCGTTAAAGTTTAATTTTTTCAAAAAGTTTAAAAACTCCGACATGTGTTCCTGTTCTACTAAATTTGTATAGGCCGGCCATTATCTCCGCTGCAGGTCAAGCCGCATCAGCTGACCCTTGCTCTCTCGTGAAACTTGCAGTCCGTCTTTATGTACAACGGTCTGGGTCGAAAGGAAGTCGCATGGGTATGTTGGAGAGTTCAAAACACCTATACGATGCAGGTGTGCCTGACAAGAACCATGTCCAGTAAGGAGTTGTGTGAGGCGGTAATCTGTCGACAATTTTGTTTCTATCCTTTTCTTTATTGTTGGGAAGTACATTTTTGTAATTGATGAGTTAGTTGTAGATTGGCATTGGTGTTCCCATTTCTCCAACATTTTTTCGGCTATTATGTTCTTATATTGAGACTTCGGGATCTTGTCGTAAACAGCTGACAGTGAAGAGTCCACTGAAACTGCTGTGGCAACAAAAATGATCAATATTATAAAAAGTTATTATGAGGATTCACATGCCAGATTTTGGACGAAGAAATGTTTTACAAACAGTTTCCCTTGCGAGAGGGGAGTAAAACAAGGATGCCAACTTAGCCCGTTACTTTTTTTTTATTTTTTTAAATGATCTAGAGGATGAGCTGTGTGGTGGTGTCATTACTAATAAACGAAAGATAAATATATTGATGTACGCGGACGATATTGTCCTTCTGGCTTCTACACCTCAGAATGCAGCTCATGATGAGGGATCTGGAACAGTACTGCGAAAATGGAACCTAAATATGAACCTGACTAAATTTGAAATTATGGTATGCCGAAGAAGAGGTGGTAGATTGAAGAAAAACGAAAAGTGGCTTTTTAAAGGGGAGAGAGTAATTTGCGTTAACAAATACAAGTACTTAGGAATTAGTATTACACCATCATTTCATTTAGAGATGCATTTTAAAGAAAAAATTAGTTGTGCTAAATCGGCAGTTACTAGCATCTGGAAAATAGTAATAATGAACAGGAATGTATCTCTTGATAAAAAAATAAGCATTTTTAACAGTACAATACGATCCATTGTTTGTTATGGGGCGCAGATCTGGGGCTTCTTAAATATAAAGGAAGTAGAGTTGATTCAGAAATATTTGATCAAAAAGTTGTTTTACCTTCCAGCTAACACTCCAGATTATATGATTTATATTGATACTTCGATCACTCCGCTTTATATTCATACAATGAACCTGCATTTACAGTACATTAGCAAGATCTTAAATCACGCCCCAAATAGATTAACACATTTCCTAGCCAATTAGATAATAACAAAACAAATATCATGGTTTAAATATCTGTCGAAAATAGGAAGGCAGTATAGCATTTAAATAAATAGAAGCACTCTAATGACGCTCAGTTGTACAAATTTGCTAAACAATCTAGAGGTGAAACTAAGGAAAGATATAGTGACTAACGCTAGGGATAATGTTTACCATAGATTATATGCAAGTTAAGACTTAGACCAAGGTAACCAATATATAAACAAAAATCTAAATATTTACTGCAAGCCATTACTCTTTAAAGCGAGGGGAGAACTATTGCAAGTGAACTGCCAGCCTTGGAGGAGCGATTTGAATTTTACTTGCTCAATCTCAATATTCCAGAGGACACTGTGCACCTTTTGGTTAAATGTCAAGTGCTGGGCGAGTTCAGGAAAATATATTTAGGGAAAGCACAACTAGATACAACCGAGGTAATAAATTTGGCGGAATCGATTGGGTTCATACAATAAAATTTCTCGCACGAGCTTTGGAATATAGAAGATATATGATTGCAAATTTCAATTATTAAATAAAAATTAAATATATAAATTAATTTAGTAATTTAGCAGCAACTCGACAGACGACGGCCACTGCCATTGTCATTCATGCTTTAAAATATTTTTTTTTTTTGGCGTTATGAACTATGCATATAAGCCATGTGACAATTCATATATGTGTGTTCAAATTTGGGGGGGTTATTGTGAAAAAAGGGCCAGAGGCGACGGTGGGAATCGAACCCACGACCGCGGCGTGAGAGTCTCTCATGCTAACCACTCGCCTACCGCGGTCCCCTGCTTTGAAATATATATCATGTAAAAAACATTATTTATTTTACAATAAAGCATATTATTCATTAATTCATTCATTGAAATTTTACTATCTGTCCGAATATCCCTTTGGCGTTTTCAAGCGATGGATTCTTCGGTTGCATATAATCAGCAATCCATTCAAGACTTTTCATAATCGCAATTCATTCTGCTTGGTTGATGCTGCAGTTCTCTCCCAGTCCGAATTTCATCGCGTAAATTTTTATTTTTTGATTGTGTACTACGAACGCAGAACCATGTTTCCCTGATTTTTTTTAATAGAATCATTTACATTGACAAACACCATTCCACAACCGTGTGAGAAGAAGCTATCAAAAATTGTACAGAACACTTCGCACTTCAAAATCCTCTCGTCACAACAATTTTCCCACTAACCCACCTGATAATCCTCCACATCGGCTGAAAAAAAGCAATACCCTAGATAAAGATCTATCCTTCTCTCTAAGGCTTCTCATGTGTCCCAAATGCCACAATATTTGTTATATAGTACTATATATAAGGACTATACAAAAAGGTTTACAGATGTAAATATAAAAGAAAAACAACCACAGTGAGTCCCCCCTTCTTCTTCATGGACTGGAGTGTCCCTTAAACAATAACCGTGATCATTTTGGCTAATTGATTTCTTGCTGTACCATCATTTGGAACTATTGTAGATTGGCCAAACCATTATCTGAGATTTTTCAATCAGGATGTTCTAAAATCTCTTATTCTGACAAACCTTGTGTACAGCCACTTGTAGATTGTTTGTATTCATTTGATCATAGAGCATGATTTTCCCAACTTCCCCCTCCATAAAAGGACAACTATAACTCGAGCAATTTCATAACTGCGGAAGAACTTTAGGCAGATGGGTCCGAGTTTTGTTTATACAACCGCTATTGCAAATCTTTCAAGTTAAATTTAGTTTTCTTCAATTGTTTGGTAAGGAAGTTTCTTTACTTAGGTTCACATACTAAGTTTTCGACTTATTAGTCACATGCTTCTGCCACTCGGTTCGTGAATAACTGAGATCTTCATTTGAACTTTAAAGGATTAAGTCGTCAGCTGTTACAATCCATTCCATTTACTGTGATTTCCATCGCTGTGTCATGAAATTCTTTATTAACAATGAATTATCATTGATATAATAGACTAGATTATATAGTATTAGAGATTTATAGAAATATAAAGGAAATAGAAAATAGAATCAAAAGCTTTCTCAAATCAGTGAAACACGGCCAAATACTGCCCAAAAAATATGCCCTAGACCCGAGAAGAATATCATGTTTGATTGGAAACAACTTCTTTTATAATAGGTTTCTTTAATAATAGGAAAGGTTTTTGGGTTTATGTAGTTTTGTCTAATTAAAATCGCCAAACGTGTAACGCATACAAAAACTTGGCTTTACTTCAGAGTTCATTTATTTAACTTTCACATCAGAAAACCATGTCTGTAATAATTTCTTGTGTAACACGTGCCATTTTATTGGACTTTTCAGTATTCTACTACAAAATATTATACTTACAAACGAGTTTCTTACATGCCAATTCATTTTGAAACCTTTATAAGTTTAGTTTACGATCATTGAACATTTGCTCAATACTTGAACTATTACTATTATTTTTATATTAATATTTATTTTTTATTGGGTAGGAGGTGGACAGTATTATTCTCTACAATTCAATCAGGCTGCCGAATGAAATTAGAACAAATTGCTAAAATTTTTAAGAGAAATATAGGATTTTGCTTCTTGTAGATGTAATTAGAAAAAAAAACTCATAAACATAAATTTCATCTTACAAAGTCCTTTGAATAATAAATATATCCGCTTGATTGTTCATAATGTAGAGAGGTAAAACGAAATCAGCGGGTTTGTTTTTATCGGACTTTATACCGTATTTCACAACAGGAATCTCAATCGGAGGAAACGGTGTAAAGCACAAAACCTCCCCAGGGGAAAACAAGTTTAAATTAGTTTTTAATTACTTTTACGACTCCTTAACAAAAGGACAAAACATCTTTCTTCTGTATTATAGTCCTATTGTACTTACGAAAGTTATGAAGATGTAGAAAAGTTAATTTCTTTCGAATTTCATTCCAACGTCTAGTCTCATTTTACACCCATTAAAACATCAAGGACAAAAATATTTTGTACAAAATTATAGATCAACGGCCAGGCCATTTTTGGCTTTACTAAACCATNCTTATATATATATATAACGCAGGGTGGGCGACCAAGACCCGAGGGGTTAAATGCCTGGGTAGACTCGTACCCCATCCCTAAAAGGTCCGGGACTTGGTCGGCTCACGAGTCCTGCATAAATCTCTTGGACTTGTTCACAAACAGCAAGATTTTGTGATGTCCGCTCCTTCAAAGATTTCAAATCTGGACCTAGCATACCTTTCACACTCTGTGAGGAAGTGCCTTGCCGTTTCTTCTTTTATTTCGCAGAAACGGCAAAAGAGATCTGGTAGAATACCCATTACGGTCTTCTCAGTGGGCACTAAACCATTTTTAATATCAAATTATTTAGTAAATAAACTAAATTAAGGCAGTATTAATTGCAAAATAATTGTAACAGTTCCAAAATCTTATAAATTTTGTACTTTATTTTCCTCGTCAACCACTCTTAAGTTATACATAATTGTAACATAATTGCAAATAACCTGTATTAGACTATTAAGCCAAATATTAATGTTTTTTCTTGATCCTGCTTGAAGTTTTTACAAAAGTTTCAAAACACAGTATGTGAAATTGAAAAAAAAAATTGTTCCTTCTTGGTGTTAATTTGATTAAACAAGACGTTTTTATATAAAAAAAAACCATGCTGAACATTTTAGTAAAAGGTGTATTTTTCTAACAGCTGTGATATAAAAGGCATGCTTAAATATTGAATAAGTAGCAATGTAATTTTCCAAAACAAAAATTCGATTATTTTTTCAAATCTAATTTAAAATTCTTGCAGTTTAACAAAAAATCATGCTATTCATGATGGACTTTACCACACAGACTCTTGAGAAATTATTTATAGGTTTAACACTGAAATGCCCCGACTGTATTAACTTATATTTAACCCCTTTTGAACTTTTAAACTCGTGCATAATGAATTATTTACATACAATTTCAAAGTTAATTAACTATTTTGCCAATATCTGCTACGATGAATATTTTGCCAGGTCGCCAATTATTAAATTTCAGCTTATGAAAGTGAAAATTTTCGCTCTCTTTCTCAGATTCCATTATTAATTAATAAATTTAGCATGGTTTTTCCTAATTAAAAACATTGGACAAATCATAATGAATTTTGTGTAAAACATCAGATAGAACAGTTTTAATTAAATATACACTCAAAGATACCAAAAATGACACTTTTATTTATTTATTTTCCAAAATAACTGCGTATAAAGATTAATAGTTGATTAAAACATAACATAATAAATCGTTGTTTACTTTTCTGTAAATCAGTTCAATTTTTTTCACTTTCCAAAGCTAAATTTTTCAGTGAGTTAATTGGTTTTTAAAATTATTTTGTTTAATGAAACAATAAATTTGAGTAAAAAGTTATTAATTTTTCCCCCTTAAATCATGGCTTTAAATCGAAATCTTCCGGGCAGATGCTTTGGCCAACGATCGACCTAGCGTCAGTTGGATGGTTGGATCCATAGCCCATCCTGGGTGTGTCGCGCTCTACCATCGACTCTGTCTACAACGGTCTAGAGCCATCGGAAGTCTCGATTTAAGAGACGGTAGTGGTAGTCCGGCAATGTACGACGGCTAGAGGCCATCATTTTATTGCTCTTATCTCCAGTTCAGAACCATCATTTAACCGCTTCCTTGATAAAAAGCGGTCAATAAAGTAAGGGTAAGCTCCAAAACAGTCAACAGAAGGCTTCGTGAGTCTAGTCTCTAGACCTCACGCATCAGGTTCTCAACTACTGGAGAAGCATCGAGTAGAAAGGTGACTATTCAAAAATCGGTTGAGAGCAAGATGAAGAAGCGGCGTATCGAGCCGAAGGTCGTGGGTTGGAATCCTCCACGTGACATTTGACATTTGACCAAGACCTTAAATGAAAATTATAATTAATTTTAAAAATTCAATTATGTCAACTACATCCATATATGGATTAATAATAACAAATTGACTGGGCTCCGGAGGCTTTGCGTGACAAGAGCACGACCTGTACATGGCCCCGAGAGCCTGAGCCGAAGCGACGATACCCGATTGAGAATAGATCATACACGGTGGACACTCGGGCATCTACTCTTGGTACAAAGTGGTGCCCTAATGCGGGGAAAGAGTGCTCGAATGTACCACATAATAGAAGTGTGTCATGCCTTGGCTCCTTGCAGAGAGCGTTTAGGCATGCCGCCATATTTAAGAAGGGTTGTCAGGCACAGGAGCGAGTTTTTGGGTCCCCTGATCCGCTTTGTGGATCACGTGCAACTGCATTATGGAATGTAATTAGTTGCAGGCTAGATTAAAGTTTGCATGCGTTGGGAGCTGACATGACGTAGCTGTCGACAGCCGCCTCGTTGGGGCGTAACAACGTTAGTTGGGAATCGTCGAGCCCCTGGGCATCGGGGTTAAGGGGGAAACTAGCGATCTAGCTTCATAACGGCGTAAGTGAACTCCCCTGCCGTATACACCCTAGTAACAGTATATCGGGGAGTGACAACCCTTTGGGATGAAAATTGAGACTGACAGGTAGCCTTAAAATAGAGCATTTCCTCCAGATTATCAGGTTATATATCGCACTACTGTATAGGGGAGGCCTCACCCATCAGATGTTATAATTATAATCCCTCAGGTGCTGGTGTTTAAAAAAAAGCCAATTTTGTAAGTATGTCGGGTTTGAATGCAGGACCTCTGGATTCGAACCCCGGACGTTTACCTTACAGTGATTAGCGCCGTGCCAACGCCAAAGCCGTTGCCGACACCGACGCCCCTACAAATGTCAGCCTTACTCCTAGGTAGCCATAGTACTTATATACTGTACGACCCGCCAAGCCCCCCACCCATCAGGAGAGCCACGCGCCGCCCGGCACCGCCGTCGAGGAGACCATCCCGTACGTACAACTTTACAAACATACACTACATAGTGGGGAAACCCCAATCGGGCGTATTAGGGAGATTTGGATAAAAACCTTACACAGCATTACATGCTCAGAACACAGACTCCTCACCCCCAAAGACAACCCCGGCCTACAAGCAGCACCCCGACAAGCTGCCCAGGCGCAGCCCGACAGACTCCCCCATAGCTCACATCTCGCTCAGGAACCTATGCAATAGTTTGTACTGTTCCTCACTCGCGATTGCTAAAATACTCTCCAAACTTGCTGACCTGCTTGCTCCAGGCTTGCTGACTTCCTCTGAGTCAAACGGTCGAAAAATGTCTCTCTCTCCTTTTCGTATTCCGGACAGAACAATAAGATGTGCTTGATCTACCAATATCACAGATTGCTATTATTTTAATTTAATATCTGTGGGTTATTCTGTACATTAACAATGTTTTATAGCAGCAATTTGGTGAAGTGCAACCCAATGGGCATAATCTTTAGTAAGTTCGTTTATAGTAGTTAATATTAGGTACGATTGAAATGTGTTCATTTATACATTTATATTAATTATTGTTTATGAACGTAGAGCCCGGAAAAATGCATAATAAATGCCGTAAGCTTGGCGGTAATGCAATAGCAATCTAGACCACATCCCCGATCTCAAAATATCAATATTTATACACAAAGTTTTGTTTATTGTAAAAAACGTTTTTAAGCTTAGATGTGAATAATAATAATATTTATGAACGACATACGTATATACATCGACCTATTTTGTCGAGTTTATATCTACTAATATTCCCCATACTTTGGTTGATTTTGTCTATGGTACAGCACCTAATTCCACAGTTTCTACATCTATTTCAGTTATTCATCTCTTACTCAGGCAAGCTCGCTTTATTTTGTAATCTCGCTGAATCCTCTCAGTCGTAAATTCAGCCCACCTTTCATTTCCCATCCTGGCTTTATGACCCGCCCATTTCCACTTCATGATGTGGGCTTCCTTTTACGTACAACCAAGCCACAACATTTTTAACATCCCTGGAAGGCTTCTTGTATTGATTATTCTATAGCCGGGATGCAGAAAGCCTGATCCGGCGCTTTTGATCTTGATTCTACATTTAGAGTGCCACTAGTAATTAACGGAAATAGGTCTTTCGACAAAAAATTTTCTCGGAATGAAAACCTTCCTCGTTTTCTGGAATTACCACCACCCAAATGTTACCCTTTGCGCCTTCTACGGAAAATCTCCATAGCTAATTTTCTCCTTTACAACATCGTTTAGTCTGTTTACCAACCGTTAATGTTCTATGGATTCGGGGAATCTCCAGTCTTACTTTCTTATTTTAAATCCACTATTTCTGGCATAGGACATTACACCTTCATTAGGGAAAAAAAGCAATCATCAAGAAAAATAACCATTTTTTCTGCATTTTCTTCAAACTAAGCCAATAAAATATCAACCTTTAATTTGTTGATGTTCAAAACACTGTTTATTTTCGGATAATCTGTTAGTTCATTAGTTTCATCACATTCTCTTTGTATAAGTTCAACATTTCGCTGTATATACATAAAAAAGTTACTCATATTTTTATGGCATATTAATCATTAAGAGAACCAAAAATATCCGCTTTTGATACCTAACTGTCAGTTAATGCAGCGATGAGAGACGTAACAAGTTGATGAAATTCAACAGACAAATATTCAAAATTTTCCAAACTAACGAAAAATGTTAAGCTTTTGATTTTTTTTTTGTTTTTTAGGGCTTTCCGGTGACAAATTTCGCTTCGACGCTAACGGAGACGGCCCGGCGAGATACAACATCATACACTTCAAGCAGGTGACAAAGAACAACTACCAATGGGTCAAAGTAGGCGAGTACGAAGAGGGATCGCTACGGTTGAACATGTCAGGTAAGACGAATCAGTTCTATTTTTTGGAAATCGTCATACCCAAATTTTCCCGGAAATATGTAGTCTTCTTTGGTCCCAACGTCTGACATTCAAAATCTGAAAAAAATTATCTTAAACAATAATAAAAGTAAATGGTAAAGATAAAAATCTTTCAATTAATTAAGGTTTTGAGTTGAGATAAAAAAGTCAGTGTCACAAGCGGGATTCGAACCCAGGACCCTCGGCTAAATACGCCGCTGCCCACTTGAGCTATCGTGAATTCGATCCACTCGGACACTAACTTCCAGTCTCAACCCCACCTTTCGAATTTTCCCTCCTTTTTGCCATTTTTATTTCAACCAATGCCTTATATAAAGATTAATTAATTGAAAAACGTTATTCGGTCAATCGGACCATAAACTTTAATGAATTTAGTAGGTGGTAAATTTAATCTATTACGGACCGCGGTATTCGAGTGGTTAGCGTGACAGACTCTCGTCGTGGGTTCGGTTCCTAACGCCTCCCCTCGAATTTCTGAAGAAGAAAAAGTTGTGTTTTCATTTCAACATAGATTAAAGCCCGACAGGTATATACTGTGGTTTGCGGACCTCATCAATAATTAAATTTTATTTTATCTGTTCTGGTTTGAAATAAGGTTGTTTTCAGTAACAGAAATACAACCATAACATAAATCTTGCTGTTGTTTCCTTACAACGGCAGGTCAATATATAAGTTCGACGTGATGACATCTATGCTAAAAACTGTATGGTGATTAGTGACCGTTAATCGATAATTATTCAGAAATCGTGAGATGCGGTCTGGTGTGATGTAGGTTTTAGAAAAACATTTTCTTTATCTTGCCAACGTTTCGATCTTCATTGAGCCCTGAAGATGATCTCAATAAAGATCGAAACGTTGGCACGATAAAGAAAATGTTTTTCTGAAACGTACATCACACCAGACCGCATCTCACGATTTCTGAATAGCTAAAAACTGTTTCAATTTAATTAAATGGTTTTATTTTGTACTGAAATTTGCAAAGACAATTTTTTTTTTTAATTCTTGACAATGAGTGTATCATTTGCTAGTACTAATAGAACCCATCACCCAAACGTCATGTCGTTATTGTAAAAACCTGTTGGGTTTTATATTGTAGCCTTCAAGTACTTCGCGTTAAATAAAATATGCTCTACTCAAAACAAAATAATCTTAAGTTACATACTCTCAAATGATCTTTTATTCTTGCACAAGCAATACGATATGCTATTTTCTAAACGTTCTGAACATTCAAAAACTATTGATGAAGTACTGTTTGTACGGTTACGATTAAAAAAAGGATTCTTTGCTTAGTTTTTTGCCTATTAAACTTCAAAGTTGCTAGTATGCGTAGTTATTGATCTCACCAAGATTTGTTCCAAGTATCTCCCCCATTGTACTATTTCCTTGTAGTGTGAAAAAATCGCTCATTCTATTTCTTCGCATTTACAATAGAAAATTTGTTGTAGATGTCTCGATGACGAGATGGCAAATTGTAATTCAGCCCAAGTGGCAAGTGTCTATGTCCCTTTGGGATTTATAGGATCGTGTGTTTATTCCCAATGTAGTGTGCTTTATATGTTATTAAAATCGATTGCTTTCAACGTTATTGCTCATATGTATATACTGTGGACATTGTGTCATAAAATTAGCTGTCACAGAAACGTTTAGACTGCATTGTTGTTAAGCAATAACCATTTGATAAGCTTATCATTAACATTAACAATCTATCTATTAATATATCAGGATTAATATCAATTATTACATAATAAAAAAGTTTTTTTATAATTGGCTTACAGATAGCATAATATTTCAAGAAATTTAAACAATTCTAATTTTTTATTTCCTAAAAAAATTAAATATTTACAAAACTATATAAAACAATTAAAAAACAGTAAGTATAATAATAATTGCTAAGAACATTGTGGGTTGTAAAGTATATTCAAGATTCAGACTTTTCCTTTTTATTTTGTCATTGAAAGTCCTTTGAAACTTAATTAAACTTCACGTCTAATAGAAGAGTTTGACAATTTATAAAAAATTTCTTGACCTCTATTCTGCTAAAAGAGAAAATTCTTTGTAACATTCAACAATTTTATCACGTCCAAAACATTCCGTCTCTCATTTTTTGTCCTCTTATTTTCTGTTATTCAATATTTCTACGAGGGTATGGAAATAAACCTATCCTTGAGGGGCAACGTTATGATCTCCGAGGCAAAACAGGCGGTCATTTGTTATTAATTTTACTGTGGAAATGTGGAATGCAAAAAGCTTTCTAAGGAAGATTTTTTTTAAGTGGAAACCCACATCAACAAGAAATACAAACGTCGTAAATATTGTATGAAGGTGTAAAAAATATCGTCTTTAACACTATAATGTTTCTATTTTAGCCTCTAATAATATAAAAAATTATGACTTGTTTTAACATTGCATTTTTATTGAACTTTAAATGTAATATATTTCAGTTTCATGTGGAAGTTAAATTTGCATCCAAATATAAACTGGTGATGCTGCTCGTTTTTAATTACAATTACTCTTAACCATAGAAACTCAGGCTTTGTTGTCGGAAATATTCACCCATGCATGAACACTTTTGATTATTGAAAACTGCTGGCAACGAAAAACCGTGTTCAAAACTGATGGCACTTCTTTAAATTAGGAAGTGGTAAAAGTTGTGACGGTTGATTAAAACAAAACGCAAATATATCAATATCATTTCTGTAGATTTAAGAAGACAAAACGATTCGAAATTTATAGAAATTATATTCCAATAAATAAGTTATTCCGACAATAACCCTTTAAGAACTTTACTTAAAAACAGGAGTGGTTCACTTTTCAATTAATTTTCATGTATGTATATTTCCTTGCAATATCTGCAATTAAAAAATAAATACGTACAATTAATTATGCTTGTAAAGTTTTTGGAAAATATATAATTGGCTATTTTTCTATTGTATAATTTTTATTCTTATAGCACCCCATCGTAAAAGTAAATTGGCTAGGTTTATTTGGCCTAACAATAAGCTTAACTTTTAAGGCTAATAGTTGGGACAGAAGTTTTTAATTGTTTTATACATTGTTTATTTAATTTAATTTGTTTTCCTTCTCGTTCTCTTTTTACTTTTTTTTAAATTAAAACTGATCTTACTACACCAACCATTAATTTTACAGTGATATATATAAATTAAATTTTCGTGCTTTACGTAAGTTATTTTAAAAACAATTGTTTTTAACTAACTGAATAGAGAATATTCGTGTTGATATTGAGAATGAAAAGTAGTAAGAATCTGGTTGTTTAGATGCATTTAATATTTTATAATTTACTAATACTGGAGGGAGAGAAAGTGCAACTTATGACTGCTTACACATGTTCTAGGAATAATCGTTAACTGGCACGTGTACAGAGATAAATTTGATGTAACTTTTATACAATAAATAAATTTTATATATTCTTATAAACCCATGGGTGCAATAAAATTTACATTTCACTATTGACAAAATTACTAATTACACTAGTTCAAATGACTTTTGTTCATTTCAACCTTCTAACGATGTTAATTAATCTTTATGTTTATGTAAGGTATTGGTTGAGATAAAAAAGCCAGTGTCAAGAGCGGGAGGATTCGAACCCACGACCTACGGCTAAATACGCCACTGCACTATCGTGACATCGATCCACTCGGACACCAACTTCACATCTCAACCCACCTTTCAAATTTTCCCTCCTTTTTACCATTTTCAAGTTTGTTTGTTGTTTTCCGATGTCACGATAGCTCAAGTGGTAGAGCAGCGGCGTATTTAGCCGAAGGTCGTGGGTTCGAATCCCGCTCGATCGGCTTTTCATCTCAACCAAGACCTTACATAAAGATTAATTAATTGAAAGATGTTATTTGGTCAATCGGACCAGGAACTCTAATGGATCTTCTAACGATGTTTAATTCGCCGATTTCCTTCCGACAACGTTTCAGTAGCGGGCAGGTTAGGGGTTATAAATGTTAAATCTAAATTTTATATCGGAGGCCTACTTTCTCTGCGAGTAAGAAAGGAAAAGTTGTAAGAGAAAAAGAAATAAATAAAAACGATGCTCACCTTCGAGATTGGAAAGACAACGAGGAAAAAGGAAAAAGTAAAGCATGATTAGGGTTAATGGAAATAAATTAAATTTAAATTATTTTAGACGAAAAATAAGGATAGGATAATCTCTGCGCAGGGGATAATGAAGATTACCAGACAGGTCGTTTTTCCTCTTTTTTTCGGCGGTTCCAGCCAGCTTGGATATGATGGAGAGTGAGTATGTAGTACGTACATTCCCTCGAATACCTTCTAATTTCAATATTGAAATGTTACCTAGGAGGTTTTACTCTCGTTATCAAAAACCTCTTTTTGAAATTAATAGTTCCTTCATAAATTGAACTTAAGCCCATAGTATCTGTCTGAATTTTACTACTGTTAAGGTTGCAACATTGTATTCCTAGGCAATGTTGGAACTGGGTCATTCTTCAAAGAAATTTGAAATCGGCTAATAAAAACTTGATTATATCAATTTGTAGACCTATTCGAAAGGTATAGTTGTACAACCTATTTCTTCCCTTTTTTCTTCACATGCTCTTTCCATCTCAACTTGGCATCTAAGTTCATTCCCAGATATTTAGCAGTATGGTATAATAGGTCGACCGTGGTAAAAGACGGAACTTGGTCCGATGTTTTGTTTTTAGAATTTATATGAATAGAGTTATGCTGTTTGGATTGAAGGATTTTGGATGTAAGGTTGTCGCTCGGCCCTATAATATCACTGATGTGCCATCTGCAGACCTAGCAATTTTTCTCCATCCATCTTCTAATATGCTACCCTTTGGAACTCCTGCATTGATTGGTTTAGTTCTGAATAATGGTCTTATAAAGTCTGTCAGTTAAGCAGGAACTGATAATATCTAAATACTGCTTTGGTAGCATCCCTCTTAGTTTAATGTCGAGTCCTTCATGCC